CGTTGCGCTCGCGATGTATCGAGGTACGAGCTCGCGGAACGTGGAATATCGGTGAATTCGTTCGGAACGAAAGGAAAATTGTCGCTTTTCATCAGCTGAAATGTTCGTGGCGCCAAAAGTGTGTTGCGATGGCGGAAAAAAGGGAACGAGTTTCTTTACCCCCTGTTGCATCCAGCTGCACGATTCCGTTGCACTTGTCGCTACCCTCGTTCCCTTGACCCTCTCCAAACACATAAATCCTCCTCTCCCCTTCTCTCATCTCGCTCTCTCTTCGTCCGTCTGTTTCCGTCTCTCGACACTCGGGTTCGGGCCCCACGGAAATAGATTCGAGACCCTCCTTTGACTCTCTCTCTTCTTCTATCCTCCCCTCTGCTATGTCACCCCTTTGCGACACTACAGTTTACTAGAAGAGAAACAGGTGCAGCGAATCGATATTCTACCGTATCGTCATCGATGCATCTTCTCTCTCGTTTCCTTTTACGAAGAATTGTCAAAAATTGAAACCTCATTTGAAACAGGCTGTTAGTAACGGAGAAAAGAAATTGGTTGTTTGGAAACGATGAACAAGTTGTTCGTGTCGAACGCTTTCTTCGAGGATTTCGAGCACGAATCGTGTTTATACACGCTCTCCTAATTCTTTAGCGAGTTTCATCCTTTCGCTAGAAAACATGATTTTCAAGCAACTTCGTTGTCGTTCTAGAAATTTCTCTTATCGAGCTGGAGAAAGGTAGGGTAATTCGAAATTTTGAATCGAAAGCGAGAAAAAGTAAAAACAATTGATGAAATCGAATTGGAACAGCACGCAAAGGCGTCGAGTTACGCGGAATCGCGTGTAACCAGTGCTCGGCTTCGAGGGATCCTGGATCGTTGGGTAATCGGCTTCCTCGTATTGCCACACTTCTCCTCCTCTTTTCCACCTTGCACCGTGTCTTTCTTTCTCTCTTCAACACGTTCCTTCATTCCAGCCCGATAGCAGCAGTCCGTTTGAAAGTGAAGTCAAGATGGCCACTTTAAAGACATCGAAGCTTTCCCCCGCGCCTATACTCACGCGTTCACACATTACACCCACCGCTAACGATGCGACCAATTCAATGACATACCCGTCAACCCTTTCGCCGCGTCTGTACAAGGTGTCTGGAAAACTATAGATTCTTCGTACGGTACCGAAGGAATCGAAGAGTCTTTTATAACACCCTGTACGAGCGTTTACTCGCTTCGACCGGTGATAGTGTAGCTACGTAACGAGAGTGTTGACATTTTCTGCAATCGGGTCAGGGCCCCCTGTCGAGCACTCCGGCATTACCTATAACCCCTCCCGAGGCGATAGTCGCCAATTGCGTTCGATCACCAGGCTGACCCAAGATTTCGCTGCGATTCCTTTTTTACGGAAATCAAGACTGAACGAAATACATCTCTGGTGAAAAGTTGTAACAATAACAGACAAATACCGATGATCCTTTCCTTTTAAGGACGAACAGGTTGAGCAATCGCGAGGCGATTTTAGGACAGGCTGACTCGATGCACGGTGAACGTCTAGCTAGTGAGTCATCCGCAGCCGCTTTTCCTCGCGAAAGGACTAAATTGACACGTAAATACGTAACGAGGTGTCGGGACAATGAGAAGTTGCCTTTCATTTTGAAATCAACTTTCAGAAAGTTTGACGTTAGGTCCGGGTTAGGATGTGCTCTTCTTGTTTTCATGCCTGGACGATGATAGGTAACTTAACGAATGGTATTTTTGTAAAATATCAAAGGAAGGAAAAAAAGTGTTTTCGAAAGCAGACACGGAAGTCGGCGAGAAACATCTCTCCGTCGATACCCTTCCGATTTCTTCGCCGTAAAAACTTGGAATAATATTTACACGACGATTCACTCCACCTCTTCGCTCGCTTCCTCGTCGTTTCGCAAATTTCTCGAATTAACTCGGTGCTTGAAAATTCGAGATCCAGGATTCAGCTTTTGTAATGGAAAACAGATTCCGAGAACCACCTGTTGGAAATCTACCGGTGTCTGAGCAAACATATTTTCCTTCCTGGAATATGGAGTTCACGAGTTTGCTTTGATTTTTCAAAACAATCTTGTATCTCTTCAATAAATTATTCGCATCCTACGATCACGCTAGTTTCTGTAATTATTTCGATTGGGAAATAGGTTAACGCGGAACGTAGAAGACACCGGTACGCCTTGAATATCTATCATCGAGTCAAATCGGTGAGCGTAGGACACGTACGAAAACATAGAGTAATCCTTGGCAACATTCATAGACCACGCGAAGATGGAATCGTCGGGACAGGTGTGCGTTTCATCTTGAAAATCGGCCGGGAAGAGTTGAGAAAAAAATTAGAAAGTAATAATAGAGGGGACGAAGAGAACGTGCGTCGATCCGCGAGGGTAGTTGAAGCGTAAAACGGGGAACACGTGCATCGTTTCGACCCCGTGCAGGGAGTTACGGTTTTTAGAAGACGATACGCGTTCTGTGTTTACACTAGCGACTTCCTTCACTCCCTCAGTCCCTTTGAGGGAGACCTTTTCCGGCTAACAGTCTCCCGCGGCTTTCTCTCGACATTCCCGAAATCGACGTAGCTGGAACTCTTTACGATCAGCGGGGAACGAGATGAAACACGCTATCAACCCTTTATCCGGTCAAGGTAAGATCGATAGAAAGACCTTCTTACGAATACTCGAAACATGACTCGACTATCGAAAAATGAAAGAACGCGTTGCGTTGCTTCGAAACACGAACAACGAGTGTTGCCGTGGCGTGGCGTGACGCGGTGTGTTGTTTTTATCGACTCTCCGGAAAGACTTTTAATCTTAGCACGGAAACCTCCAAGGTTCGTTCATTGTGTCGATATAAGACGCTTCCTTTCCTTCTTTTTTTATTAAACAATAAAACGCGTTCAAGCCGGCTACGTAGACGAGCGCCGATACGCTCGAGTATAATTAACCGTGAAGGACCCGGCGCGCCGTGGCGGGTCGGTAACTTAATTTCCCACGAGCAGCCTGCTGCACGCCGCTTCGTGACTTCTGCCGTGCGTACAATGCACATTTCCTTGCCGACGCGATCCGTTTCCATGCAATTTTCCTGACGATACTTCCTTTACTTTTCGCAATGCAACGCGGTTTCTTAGGGAAAACAGGGAACAATGTTTCCTTTTACACTTTCTGTTATCATCGATGGATTTATTATCGCTTCTATCGGGGATTGGAAATGTTTCTAAACGATCATCGAAGCGGAGTTTGCGAACACGATGGACAAGAGGCGAGCTCGAGGCGGGAGTAGAATAGACGCGAAAGTAGGCCGATCGAATTCAGTAGCGGCGGAAAAATATAAACAAAAAAGGAGGGAGGCGAGAGACTAACGCCACCGGAGGCTCGTGTGTAATCTTTTATCCTTGGACCTATCCCATATGCCGGCAGGTAAACAGTTTCGCAAGAGAATCACGGCTCGCAAGATCGGGAATTTCCTTATACACAACACGATACCTAACGATGCCCATTCGATACCTCTCCCTCTCTTGCAAATTTTCAAGCCGTTTGATCATCGTTCGATTTCAAATCATTTAGATACGTTTCAAACCATCCTTGAAGTTCTTGACAAATTTCCGAAATTTCATGCTCTCTCAAGGGAGAAAGTCACCCGGTGGTCCACACTGGTGGAATTAATTCTGGACACTTTGAATAATATTATTCTTTATTTTATATTTGTAATCTATAATTCACATGATTTGGTTTGTAAATGTTTGAAAACTTAAAATTTAACTGTCCAGAATTAATTCCACTAACAGATTTAGACAGTTAATGAATCAACACACGGAAAATCCTGTCGCTAATTACACATTCAGTGATTCTTTTTTCTTGACCGTAGAATGTTAATGGTATCCAAACGTTTTCCCGGTGAATCAGGTATATCATAATTAGTAAGTTTTGTTTTTCGTGTCGACGAACACGCGGAAGATTCGAACGGTGGATAAGGATCGATCGTTTGGAGCGTAAATGTCAAAGCGATTGGGAACGCGCATTGTCGACGTATTTAATGTTCCGTTGCGTGCATGGATTTACGATTGCCGTGGAAGAAGCACCGCGGGAAAAAGTTAAAAACGACGAACGTCTAAGTAATTCTCTTCAGTTCGAGAAGAGTCTCGAGGACGTCCCTGGTCGCGAACGAAAAAGAAATTGAAAGGTACTTTCGAGGGAAACTTTTTGCTTTCCAACTCGTTTACTCTCGGTGATTCTTTTACTTGTCTAACTAATCGTTCAGATGGCTCGAACCTTTCGAAAAAGTCAATTTTCCGATCGCCACGTCATTACAATTTCGTTAACCGATTACTCTTGGAAGGGTATCTTTTTATGCCAAATGGGAGTTTTACGAAATTATTAATTTTCACATTGTAGTCGGGGTTGATAGTTAGAAATGATGGATTCGCGAGGGCATCATTCCCATCGTCGATTATCAGGACGGTAAAAGAGCGAGAGAGAGAGGGAGGACATACGTGTATGGCAACGCAACAGTTTAGAGTGAAGTGTTACGTCAGTGAAAGTGTTATGCCAATGTGGGCCGAGGCTAACCTGTGAGCCCTGTCTCCGCGTGTAAATACTCGCACACGTGTACGGGCGTGTTTAACACGACCACGAGGAGAAGCGACGAACACGATGTACCGAAATTCCGTATCCGTGTGTCGTTTCTAATCTTACAGGCTCGTATGACTCCTTTCTCTGTCGCTCTTCGAAAGGGTGCGAGCACAGGACTCGCGGAAATTATAGTTCGATCAGAGCATATTGTTAGATGTCGAAGGATGACATCCTTGCCGAGGAATGCGCCGTTAAGGATGCGATGCACGGACCACCGCGTAATCGATTTCTGAACGTGGGACGTACAGGTATCGTGTGCTCGCTTCTGATCGATCCGTAGGTATATTTTAAGGAAAATTCTATGACAATTAAACGTCATAAATGGTCGTTCCACTTCCGGGATACCAACCCTCGCTAGAATAGAGACTATTGAACGAACAGCTGACGTTTAATTAAATTTAACAAGTGTCGTAAGAGTTTTGAACATTACGGTACACGTGACAGATGGAGAAGGTGAGGTTGCCGTTTCGCCGTGTTGGAATTCCGGAAGGCGGGCTTTCCTGTCGTAATTCATGCGTGTCGCGAGTGTTTGGATCAGCGGGGTATTCGTGCATGACACCCACACGATTCAACGTTGACTTTCCATACGAGGCACGTGACCCTGAAACAAGGACCGTTTTTCGATTACAAAACGTTCCTTAAAACGATACTTCCACGATTCCCGGAAAAGGTACGATGGAAAGACGTTGATTCCGGAACGTCTCCTAATTAGGTCACCGCGAGAAAAAGCTAGCTTCTGAATCGTTTATTCGCTACCGCGATAACTGGATGATACACGGTTATCAATTTGACAGAAACGAGAAGAAAACGATTGCGTTTCTTTTTTTTTCTTCTATCTTTCTTTATTTCACCGTCTCTGTACGACTTCTGGCGATAAGGTTGAGCTTGCGTAATGGCCCTATCAATGTATCAACGTCGAATGGATTGGCAATTTTCTGCAGATAAAAGAATCCAACCGACGGAAGTGGCATTAGAATTCACGGCTCTCTTTCTCTTATCTCGTAAATTGAAGACGTTCCTCGGTTAAAAGTTTCAATAATATATACGTGATAGTTATACGTACATTAAATAATTATGCGTTATACGATTGGAAAACTGATAATGCTGATTGAATTACTCGAAAGTAATTCGAACTTAGCACGAATCGATCAGTTTAGATAATTAACAAAGATTATTCGGTGAAAAACGAGTACTTTTCGTCTGGATATTTCAGTCCCGATAAACTACCAATGATTCGCGAAGAAATTATTGAACCCGTTCCTCGAATAGAGCATTGGGCGACTGATTCTCGTGAATAAACCGAGCTGTTAATTTTCGGATAAATATGTACAATCTTCCATTCGATGGTTTTGGCATCTGGTTGATTCTATTCAAATTATAATGACCGAGAGCGGCCTCTAATTAAATAGTCTCGTTCCGATGGATATCGCGAAGAAAAGGAAAAGTCGGTCGGATAGGAGAACGAAGGAAACTATGGTTGCGGAGAGAAGAGGGTGGACCGGAAGTCTGCTTCGTGTCGCGATCGCGCGTTAACGCGTACCGCGGTTTATCCAGGAAGAACCTCTGCCCTCGTCATGGGACTTACTCGCGCCCTTGAAGGGCCGGCTATGTTTAACAAGGGCTGACTACATAAGAAACACGTGGTCATCGAAGTGTTAAGGAATTCTCACACAACCTTTACAACAACATGTTGGAATTTGTTGAAACTTCATTTACGAAAGAAAATCAAAGAAAATCCCTTAATGAATAATACAGAAAAAAGGACAAGGAATAATTACTAGCAGCAATCTTATCGACCTACTAATTTCCAACGATAAACCGGTTCCCACGATTAGACCCACATTAGCCCCCGAAACGTTCCAATGATGATACAAATCTCGGACCACTTGTAAACCGGAAATCGTCCGTTGCTCTCCCGATGATCCCAGCTCGCACTGTCTGAACTGGCACTCTCTTCTAACCATCTGCGTGTCGAGGGACGTTTCTCGGGGTAGAAGAAATTTTGAAAAAACTTATCGAAAGGATCGTTGCTCGAAGAAAAAACGAAGCACAGCCGCGTTGCGACCCGGGAATAACTAATGAACACTCGTCGCGCATCGTTAGTCTGGCGTTCGAGTGCTCGTCGATGGAAATTCGTTGTCGTTTTACCGAGACGATTTATAAACTGACTGAAATTAGTCAAAAGTGATCCAATTTTCTTCGTTGTTAACCATTCTCCTCGAGCAATCGATACCGAAAAGTGAACACAATTTGTGTCGCGAGACAAGTTAATACGATAAAATCTGTTTATTTGATTAGTCGAATTGAAGCAGGTAATCTATAATTAAGACTCGTAACACCTTATCGCGAAACGTTCGTGTCACCAGATCATATCAGACTTCCTGGATTTCGAAATCGGTTATTCGATAATTAAATATTTCAGGGTCTCCATTAATACAGCTTGATTAATTTTCAAGGTGCATTACCGCTACATTAAATAGAAACAAAGTAAATGGTGATGAAATAAAAAACGTGAAGTGATTAGATTAATCTTTTTATTCAGATGCTATGTATATGATACAGGAGAAATAGATTTCGTCCGTATTCTTCCGCAATTGATTTCGGATATAGTAGAATGAAGGAATTATTTCTGATCAGCCACGTGTACTCGGATAGAGATGCAAATTAGGTCATCAGACGGTGCTCGAACTCGGATAATTGAGTGAAAAGCTCGGGAAAAATCACGACGCGGCGCCGTCGCTTCTCACATGTCCCGTTTATTTCGGGATCGGCGTTAATTTTTCAAATTTCAATCGACTCGAACAGTCCAACTGAGATATTCATCGCGCCGACTGATCTGCAAATAACCGAGATTCATGTCGTTGGCCCTGTTCTAAAGCAGTAACTATCGTTTATCCTTTCTCGACGGAAAATCCATGTAGATTTCAAAGGAAAAAAAGAAACTATCGATGACGATCATTCTTTTGAAATGACCTACTGTTAAACAGTTTTCAGTTGAAACAGCTTATTCTCGTCCCCGAAGTTGGCCCAAATACCCGGAACCAATACTCGACTGGCAGAGATGTAAAATTCTCGCTACTTTTCTTACGGATCGAGTATCTGGATCAGAGGTTCGATCGTTGTCGCGCGCAAAGAATCGCGCAGAGAAGGAGAATCGTTTCGAGGACATCGCGAAAACGGCCACACGCAATGCACCGTGTTTGGCGAGCTCTACAGAATCCGTATGGTGCTCATGAAAAGTGCAACAGTTTCCCTCCAGCTATCTCACATTTCCACTTTGCAAATACCCTGGAATCGAATGGATTTTTCACGCAAACATCTCCTGGAAATGATTTGTCAATGGTAGATGATGAAAATGAAAAAGTGACCAAGAACGATGGCACTTCCGTTAGGCGGAGGGGGATATCGGTTCGAGGAAAAGTGGTCGAGATACGATCCGGTTGACGTGTAGGAAGAACTTTATAAATTGGGTCGCCACGGGCCGCGTCACTGATTACACAGATCGTCGTCGTCTCTCCTTCGTCTTCTCTGTCTTTCATTTTGATCATCGCAACGCGTCGTCTCTGTTTTTTCCTTATCCTTTTCGTTCCCGTTCGATTCGCGATATCTTGGACTCGCTCGAAGCTCGCCTAGACCCAGATGCAGGGCCGTGACCAGCCACGAATCGGTACGTCTCATTTTTTAAACTTGTTTTTGTCAGGTTTATCCAATTCAAATCATTAGCTTTGTTTGGGTTCAGATCTCTGGATTGGACTGACTCAATTGTATAAGATAGTTCTACTGTTCTTGAAACAAGCGACTTCCTTTCCAATTGTCCTAGCACAAACCCTCAACCCTTTACCGTTTAAAGAGATAAGAACAGTGTTTGCACTGTTAGGAAAGCTTCTCAATGTGCTCTCGAGTCCTTCGATTCTCGAGTTGGCCAATCGATTTCAAATGAGTCACATAGTTGAATCGATATACAGCCCTGGCTAGACGTAGAACCGAGAGCGAAAGAAACGGGTAGTAGGAGAGCCTAGCTCAGCTCTCTCTGTTCCTCTCTCTTTCTCTCTTACTCTCTGCCGTTCTCGTTCTCTCCTTTTCTCCTTCTATCGTTCTATGAGTCTATTAGCATCGGTCGCGCACGCTTAGCGGGGCCTTGACACAGTGCGTGTCAGCAGTTGCATGCCGATAGCGGAAAGCGCAATCTGTTTATCGAGCTTTATCGGCGATTTCGCGTACGAGCTGGCGTTAGACACCACCGTCGCCACATACTTACGTACGCACACTACTTTATTCCTTAATATATTGCTATCGTGTTATGATTTACGATGCAGCTTAGCCGGCCGTTGATTCCACGACACTCGTTTCTACGTGCTCGTGATCATGTCTTTCCTTCGGTGCAGATATCATTTTATTTATATTCAATGCGCGATCGATACGGTGGTAAACAACGAAATAAAAATGAAAATTTTTAATATTCAATATTTCGGTTATATAATTTTTTTTCCTTTTAATCTTTCGAGGATTAAAACGCGTCCGTTGATTATTCTCGCTCTCATTTGCATCGTGTCGCGGTTTCGTCGCCACGTCGAGAGATCGTTGCTCTCCTAAGAAATCCGATAACATGGCGTAACGTTTCGATGCTCTGTATTTCAGCTAGTCACACGATATTTCAGCGTGCATTTCAGAGAAATGAAAACGTAAAGCCAGTTAAATCCTTCGTTTCCTTCTCGATCCGTGTATCCATAATTCTATACTACTTTTTCAAGGAATTTCTGGATAAAACAGTTGATCGTCACGTAATTTCACCGAGCATCGTTTCCAACCAGACGGTAATATTTTCTGCACGGTTATAATACAAGAAATAACGTCGGGATGAAAGCGGCGATGACCTCTTCGATCGCGACTCCTCCATCTTTGCGAATTTATCGGCGTATTTCGACAGTGCGATTCTGTCTGTACTTCTTTTTTCTCTTTTATTGAAAGATTTTATTTGGATGTTTTAAATTATCAACGGATAAAGTGTTTGTAAAGTAGAATAAGCTTGTTGTTTCCATTGCGTGTTTACGTAACTTACGAGGTGTTTAAATAACAAGTCCAAACGATAAAATAAGTTTCTTTTTTTTCTTTAGAAACCAAAAATTAAGATATCCGTGAAATTGCTAAATGCAGGAAATCGAGGGAAAGAGTGACTTTTCTTTCGACCCAGATTCCCATTGGTTTATTGAGAAAAGTTAGGAGGAAGGGATAAAATCGTCGGTTCAATAGGAATATTAAGAATTGAGGTGACCCGGTCGGTTTCACGACCCTCTAGTTTTCACCAATGTCCATTAGACACTACTGTTCTCTATAATTCTTGTGTTATTAAAATATATCTTTGAGAAAAAAAAAAAAAGAAAATCGTTGTTTGACAAGGCATCGATGTAGCAGTTGACGTCGAATCGAAAAAGGGCAACGATTTGCCGACGACAACAGCGTAGAAGTTTCTTTCGCAAGGTCCTGGTCAGGCATTCGCGTGCTGGTTACTTCATTCTGCGCATTCCGGCTTGCGAAACAACCGCCTGGTTGTTGCGAACTTGGGCGCCGTTACCGCTTCTGAGGATGGACGTAAACCTTGTATCCTTTACTTCTTGTCCACTTGAAAGATCCCTCTCTCCTTTCCTCGCGTTCCTCCTTCGATTCTTCCATACGCGCGAATTGAAACCGAGCTTTAAATTGAATCGCGTGTGGTGAATTTCAGGAAATCGAGAGGGAAAGCATCGAACGCGTTGCATTATTGAGAAGATGTTCGAGGAGGGTCGCATAACTTTCGTTATTAATCGCAAAATGTGTATCGTCACATTTGCTGGAGGAAACTTTTCTTTTCCATTACCAGACTGTTGGTCGCACATTATTAGTCCTTTTGTTTTTTGTCTGAACGTTTCGAAACGATGCTGTTTTGCGCTGCGTCAACTCCGGCAACATAATAATTTCGCGAACTTCTTAGACACGGTAAAAAGTGTATGAAACAACATGCGTAAAGGTGCTCTCGAACGTTAGGGTGAGAGAACACAGGGGCGATTGTTTCAATTTTCTCGAAACGTAATTAGCATGTCTGAGTAGGTTTCGATCGTTTATTACGTCGAGCCTGTTTAAACGTAACAGATAGGAGAGGGAAACGAAATTATCCTCCTCATCTTTTCTTTTCCTCAACGAATTCGGAAACACAATAAACGAAACGTGATGTTTCACGGTACACTGATGCTTCGAGAATCGTTCGGCTGCGAATGACATAACGTTTACGTCCTTTAATGCGTGAAAGATGGAGATGGGTCCGGGGAGGATCCATTGTTCTTTCAGATACGATGAAACTGTTCGATTCGCGTTCCCTTTGATGTTGAGTAAGCATTATGTCCTTATCGATCCTCGTTACGCAACCGATTCAAACCCTCTATAAACACAAATTTCGTGTATCCGTGAAAAACAGAAGTATAGATTTTATCGTCTCGAGTGGTGAAATTTTTCAAAGTTTCGAAAATCGAAAGAAAAGTATTAATATTCCATATGAATGATAAAAAAAAAAACCCAGCAATATCCCTTTTGAATAAGTCAGTACGTAGGAGCATCAAACCATCATGGTTTCTTTCGTCCCCGAAAGTGGGTCACGAATTTTTTCTACGCCATTACCTCTCTCGACCAATCCATCCTTACTTTCCGTCCTGCCCTACCTCACAACGCAACCCTCTTGTGCCACCTCTATCTCGTTTGCTGCCCATCGATCTTCTCTCCAACCATCTACAGTCCATCAACAGCCGAAATATTCTCTCTTCGATGAATACTCTACTAACGCGTAAATTTTCAACATTTCATCCTTCTTTTGCAATCAATTTTCATTAATCCGTGTTTCATTTTAAAATGGAAAATTCAGACGAATATTTGCAGTGAACTTACGCGCGATCTTCGAAAATGAATTCAGGGAAATATAAAGCTCGACTTAAAGAAGTTGTGTTTTTTTTTTTTTTTTTTTTTTCTCTGTAAATACTGGATCGCGTAGCACGTTCGTCGGGTTACAAAGTATATCCAGACACGGTGGCACGTAAGGCACATCAAGTATCAGGGGGTAGAGGGTAGAATCGATAAGGTCGCTCCAGACGACCTTCGAGGACCACCACCCGAGTTCGGGGG